GGGGAGGGGGATATAGGCCAGGAAAAGGTAAGTGTGACTAGTTTAATTTGAGATTATGTTTGGCATGGACTGGTTGGACCGAAGGGTCTGTTATCATTGTTTCACTCCCGTGACGATTTTCAAGAGGTCTCCTGGTATGGAGGATGCCTTATGAGAAATATTTAAACAGGTTGGGATTGTACTCATTGAAGTTTAGAAGATTGAGAGGTGACCTCACAAAAACATATAGGATTCTTAAGGGTTATCACAGTGTGGAGCTGGAAGAACACGGCAGGCCAGGCAGCATCAGAGGAGCAGGAAAGTTAACGTTTCCGGTTGGAGCCCTTCTTCAGAAATGGGGGAGGGGGAAGGGAGCTGGGAAATAAATAGAGAGAGGAGGGTTGGGGCTGGGGAAGATAGGTGGGATAGTGATAGGTTAGTGCAGGTAGGCAGTGGTGGGGATTGGTCAGTGGGATAGGAGGAGCGGATAGGTGGGAGAGAAGATGGGAGAGGCCAAGGGTGGGCCCGGCCTCATCCCCTGACCAACCCTCCCTCTCATCCCCACCTCCTTGACTTGATAAAATCTGTCCATCTTCTCTCCCACCTATCCACCCCTCCCACCTCACTGACCAATTATTCCTGCCAAAGTGCATAACCTTACATTTTCCTCCATTGCATTCCATTCAGTGTTTCATCCAATACCTTTTTCTTCTCTGCAGATCTCTGATGTCTGTGTGTGGCAGTAAGTTTTAGAGCTGGAAATCAATGTGTCAACATGCTTATTGTTGTGCATGGACTCTCCAGATAACTGTGCATACTCAGCTTGGAAGGAAGCTAACTTCCATCTACAAGGCTTTAGCGCACTCACTGAACCTGTCTATATTCCTCTGCAGGCGTGTCATCCTCACCACTTGCCTTCCCACTTATTTTTGTTATCTGCAAACTTGGTTCTATTACATTCACTTCCCTCATTCAAGTCAGTAATATATAACGTAAGTAATTGTGATACTCCACTAGTTATAGGTTGCTGTACAATGATTTAGTGTGTAGCAACATGTTACTAATCACTTTTGACACATTGAGTCACACCAGTTCACGTTTTGGACAAGATTCAGTTGAGATTCCTGGCATTTCCTTGCCATCTATCATTGGAGCTCCAGATCCTCATTCATATTTTTGCAATGAGCTAGCACCTCTCAGCACTAGTGTCCCTCTCAGTTTTTCTTCGGCATGGATGTCTGAGGTCAGTGTGCGGCAATAGTTTACGGAAGTGGAAGCCAATGCTGATATCTGCTTCAACGTATCAACTACCATTTGCAGAATGTCAGAATAGGCTGTGCGCATTGAAAGCCATGCAACTTAGAAGAAGTGATACATGGCACAAATACAGTGCCACCATATAGCCCGGACCTTACTTTCAGAGGCTTCATTTTTGGATCACCACATTGAGCCACTTTGCACTTTTCTTCTGATTTATAGTTTGTAACTGATTGATTTTCTGTTGTAAGCTCTTTCACTCCATCTCCAAGTGACTTCATTTCCACCACTTTGCTTTTAACTGTGGGTTTCCATGCTATGTTCTTTTTCTCTCTTTCTGGTTTTCTCAGCACCATCTGTTTTTGATCAGGTTTCTGGAAATTTGCATGATAGATAGGATTGGAATTATGGGAGTTTTTTGTGCCATTTTGGAGGATTCATAAATATAAACCCGCTTTTATTTAATGTCTCAATATGCTCTTTAATGTGTTTACTCATAAGAGATCTGCACAGTAGCTTATTGAGATGGAATGTTGTTTAAACACACCAGAATAAACTATATACTGTTCATTTTTCTCCAGGTCATGATCATATTCCTAAGTTGTGTTCCTTAACACAGAATCAGTACTCTTCAACTGGATTGCTGTGTAGCATTAATTCAATTTACAGCGAACTTTGTTTTAAACGATAACTGATAAACCAGCAAAAATTATATATTTCAAATACCAAAACATTTACTGCATTATTCTGTCCAATTGTTGTGGTTTTTAAAATTATTTACCTCAATGTGAATACATTTGCTGTTCCATCAAATGCTCACATGGAATATCAACAGTTGATTCAATTTCAAGTCAATTTCTCCCTAAATCCCGTGACCTCTGCAAAGCCTGAGTAGCCAGTTGAGGTGCGTGGGAGAAGGCTCTCTGCCAGTAAACTTTATTTAAGGCAAAGTTGCATTGATATTTAAGTGATTTATGCTGTACATAGATTGATGTGTATATCTCCTGCATTATGTTTCTATTATTTAGTATGTGATTTTTTTTATTGATTATGTGGACCTCTTGACTATCCCGAATATATGATCAACCAGTACGCTCCTGGTCCCATAGGTACTGGTTAACAAAAGTTTGCTCTACTTGAAAATTTCAAATGATTTTCTTAAATGGATAAAGTGCATTTACAGAGTAACTTATTTTCATATCTTTACTCCAGCATTCTGCTGTTTGCACTCCATTGCTGCAGGTCATGTGGTGTCATCCCAGTCCCTGGTTAATTAGCAAACTTATCTCTTGAAATAGTAACACTACATCCATCTTTTTCCAAAGATTCAAGTACGCAGATTGAGTGAAAATACGTACATTAGGTGGTTACAAAACTTATTGACACAAGCAAAAACTATAAACTTAACATGTCTGAGTTAGTATCAAGTATAGGGATAGTAGGAACTGCCGATGTCGGAATCTGAGATAACAGGATGTAGAGCTGGCTGAACACAGCAGGCCCAGCAGCATCAGAGGAGCCGGAAAGCTGACGTTTCAGGTCTAGACCCTTCTTCAGAAATGGATCCAGACCCGAAACGTCAGCTTTCCTGCTCCCCTGATGCTGCCTGGCCTGCTGTGTTCATCCAGTTCCACACCTTGTTATTTCAGTATAAAGTATAGTTGGTTTGACAACCCTTCTAGATCCCCTGATAGGATAACCTTCCAGAGATCAAGACCTCTGTATATTGACCTCTTTATGTATTGTATGTGCATTGTCATTATGTGTTGAGGCATTATAGGATCCAGGCTCATGGGGCACTAAGGACACTTGGTTACGCACATAGGTATCCAATCCGGGATAAATGACTGATTTTCTGTCATTTCCACACCTGCATGTTGGTATGTACAATATTTATTCTCTTATTTTTTGAGCGGTTTGTTCTGTAATTTTGACAACTTTGCAATGTTGTCCCAACTTGTGTTTGAAACATGATCATTGCTGGAAATGGCAAGCCCATATGAGGAGGTCTGGCATGGTAACACAAAGATTCTGAATTGTTGGCCTTCATTTCAAGATGGGATGTTTGACTGAACTGTTAGCTTGGTGAAGATCTGGGATAAGGTAATGAAATTGTCACACAGTTTATGTCCATAAAGGGTCCACCTGTATATTGTGGTCCATTGTCATATTGATCTCTGCAGTTGCCGAAGGCAGAATATCACATTCATTGTGTTTGCACATCAAGTCTCATCTCTTTAACTCAGCTCATCAAGTCTCCTTTCAACAACACTTTCCAAATCTGTGATCTCTACCACTGACAGCAGAAGATGCTTGGGAACATCACTACCCTCAAGATCCTCTCTAAGCTGCAAACCATCCCAATTAGAAAAAAAAATCTATTGCCATTTCTTCATTGTCACCGAATCAAAATCCTGGAACTCCCTGCCCAACAGCACTGTGGGTGTAGGTGTACCATATGGATTGCAGTGGTCTAAGGTGGAAGCTCACCTCCAGCTTCTCCATCACATTGAGAGATCGGCAGCAACAGCTACATCCTGAGACAGAATTTCTGAACAGCAGTGTGATTGTGATTTGCCTCAGCTGTGACAGTGGATCGATTGTATAAACACATTGGGGTAGATCCCATCATCTATCTGGCAGCACTTCCAAAACTAAATAAATTGAGCTGTCCTAATTATGATTGCATCAGTGGCTTGCCTTCAAGACAAGTGTGCAGTAAATTGGGTGATCAAACTAAATCTCCCTGTGGCAAAATGCAGAAAGCCAGAGCCAGAGTTATATCTGTTTGTGGGCCTTGTCTGTAGGTCTGGCTGCAGCAACAAATGGAACACCTCCAAAGCTTTGTTGCTGAACTGCAGTCTCCTGAAATACAGACCCTGGGAAAAGTCTAGGAAAGTGCATCTGGATCTACAGCTACTACGAGGTGGCCACTTCCAGAAAGGTCTGACCCTCCTCTGCTGCCCAGTCAATCCGTTTACAATTACAGCAACCAGACCACGAAATTTGTTTTTCTTTAAAATTTAAACTTCAGAAATATCAAAATTAAGTGTTGTCAGCCACAGAGGTATTTACATTTTTTTCTAGCAACAGATAAGGTGCGTGAGATGTCTACGCAATGGTTCCAGATATCACTTAGATCAAGAGGTTTTGAAATTATTTGGAGGACATTTGCTATAATCACCATCCAAAAGGGTGGTTGGGCAACGTGAATACTTATTCCCCACCTCTGCAGTTCAAACAAACTTCCTCCTTTTCAGGTGTCCTAGCTTGCAGAACAAGGACTCTGTTGAAAACAGTCAAATGAATTGTGTAAGCATCTGGCAATGATGCAGTTGTAAAAACCACCAGAAGGCATGACAGTAAAACAATTCCACTTGATGGCATCAGAGGCTCATATGTTTGAGAGTCATTGAGCTAGACGTTGTTTGCAACTAACCATTCTAATCAAATAATTCAGGAGGGAGAAAACACAGACAACTTCATAATTAATTTACTTAAAATTATTTGGGTTCAGTACAGATTTTTTTTTTGTAATTCTTTCATAGAGCGTGGGCATTACTGGTTAGCCCATCTTCGCTTTCCCATCCCTAATTACCATTGAGAAGATGGAGGTAATGAGCTGAAGTCCTGGGTAGGTAGGTACATCCATATTGCTGTTAGGAAGATAGCGCTGAGATTCTGAATAAGCTTTATTGATGGAATGACAATGTAGTTCCAAGGCAAGGTGGTGTGTGGCTTTATTAAAGAAAAGACTTGTGGGATATGGTCGTCACTGTATTTATTACCCATTTCTAATTGGCTTTGTCTTGCTGGTGCTATGTCATTCACATCAACCACATCGCCATGTTACCTATAACCCAGATCAGGTAAGGACCATAGACATTCTTCCCAAAACGACATTAGCTAACCATTTTTTTTTTTTTTAAAATAACAATTTGACAATGGTTGCACAGATTGTATTGAATTCAAAATATAAAGATTATATTGAATACATGTCATGGTAGAGTTCAAAACCAAGTCTCCACTGCACTAACCTGAGTCTCTGGATTACTAGTCCAACGCCATTACGACGAGGCTACTTTCCCCCCAGGATAACTTTAAGGCAGCACTGTTCCCTGACATCTGCAACCCTTACCCTTCTAGGTGTTAAGGTTATGGGTTTGGAAAGTGCCAAATTGCTGTAGTGTATCTTATAATTGATGTACACTACAGCTACAATGTGCCAATATGTGAGGAGCGAATATTGAAGATGGTGGATGTGGTACCAATCAAGTTGACTGCTTTGTCCTGGATGGTGTTGAGCTTCGAGTGTCGTTGATGCTGTTCTCTTTCAGGCAAGGGGAGAGTGTGCCATCACACTCCTGACTTGTAGATGATGGAAGGACTTTTGGGAGTCAGAATGTGTTACTAGCCACAGAATTCCTAGCTTGTGTCCACTCTTTTACCCACAGTATTTACATGACTGGTCTCGTTCAGTTTCTGCTCAATGGTAACAAATCCACCCCCTCCTCCAACCCCAATGTCAACATCAGGGGATTCAGCAATGATAATGCCATTGAATGTCAAAAGGAAATGCTTAGATTCCCACTTGTTGGAAATAACCATCGCCATGCACTTGTGCAGTGCAAATGTTACTTGCCACCTGTCAGCTTTGGCCTGAATGATGCACATGGTCACAGTTTGCTTAAATATCGGAGAAGTTCCAAACGTTGTTGAACATGGTGCAATCAGAGAACATTCATATTTTTGTCCTAATGGAGGGGAGGTTATTGATAAATCAACTGAAGATGTTCTGACTTAGACATCACTCTGAGAAACTCTGACAGTAATGTACGAGACAGCAAAGTATAATATATTGTCACTTCATGTGGAAGGAAACCATCTTTGCTTGTTTAAGCATTTTGAAGCAGTATTTACCCATTAAGAGGTGGCACAGCCATTTTATTCGTTCATCGCAAACCTTAAAATGCATATCTTCCCAACCACAATGTGGAATAGCAGCATTATACGCTAGAGTATCAAATTAAACTAGAGAAGTATATATAGGCCTATAATAAATTGTGACAGAAAACCAGTTCTAATCAAACTAATATACCAAACACATGATAATTGTGGATAAACTGAGCAGGATACAAATAAAAGGAATGATTTTATGACAGTGAACATAATTAAAGCGTCCCAGACTGGCAAGATTTGTTTTATCGTAAAAAACATGTCCTGTACTGGCCATCAACTGAACTAAAAAGAAATGCTTTGAAATAGTTATCCTGGTGAAAAAAAATCTTAATAGACCATTTGTATGATGGTAATAATTGAAATTTACTTATTTTATACGATGATGGAATTGTATAATTGATTTTTCTTGTTCATGGGTTTCTATAGAGCCATGACGAATTCTTCGTATTTCTGCAATTGCGTCAACTCCGGTTATTTTTTTACTTTTTACAAGATAACATGCAAGCATTGTCCCAGTTCTCCCAAAGCCATGAAGACAGTGGACTCCAACTCCCTAGAAACAAATTAAGTAAAAGAGGCCAGTTAGTAACCAAATCAAAAGGCTGCAGTACAACACTATGGGACCCACTGACGTTATTGCAGGACAAGTCAGGTTCTTTATATCACAACTAGTAAATCACTATTTTGCCGCTAAATTACTATTATTTATAATAGCCAACATGCATAGATATTAAGAAAGGCAAGTGCGCATGTAACCTTTCTAGTGCCTACTGCCAATATTTTGGACAGTTAAAGACATTTTTACTTATTTTGAGCCATGTTTAGAGACCAATATAAAACAAAGAACTGCAAATATTGGAGGTCTGGAATGAAAGAAACAGAAAATTGCCGAAGAAACTCAGCAGCATCTGAAGCAACAAAGAAGGGTCATGGAACTCAAAACATTAACTCGGTTTTCTCTCCGCAGATGCTGCCAGATCTGCTGAGCTCCCCCAGCAATTTCAGTTTGTTTGTTTAGAGACTGGTAAGGCAGTAAATGTTAACTCAGTCGAAAAGGTTACCCTTGAAGTTGTTCTGTCAACAGCAACTTTTCCTATTCAGTGGAATACTCAAACTCAAAATAACCCTTAACTTTTTGAAACTATTATTAAATTGCAAACTTAATGTGCATTTTTTACAAACAAACAACAGTTCATTTAATTAGCATGCATATTTGCCCATTACAAATATTTATTCAACAATCATTCTGGTCAATATATACAGGTTAATTCCTCATTATCAGCAGGTGTAGAATGCAAAAGGTAACCCAAACGTCTTTAAAGTGGATGTTTGAGAACTCTGGGTAAGAAAGGATTCTAAATAAATGTATAAGTGGCTAGGAATTACAGATAACAAGAAAAGCTGTAAAAGTATTTGCTAGAATTCTGTTAAAGACACCATTTATTGTGTGGTTAAAAATATGCAAAATAAACGTAATAATTTTGAAGATACATTTCAATATAAAAACTTTGAAATTCAGCATGTTAGGGAATAAATTACATCGATATTTTCGCTGAGATAAGGGGAAATCTGCACTTATTTCTGCTGTCTTTCAATACACATTAACCATAGAATTACAAATTCCTTGGGGTTAGTTGTTATTGCCTGTTATATCATTCATCTGGAAACTACTACAGCTTCTAGGCAGAGAAAAATCAGCTTTATTACAACTGCGATTTCAACTTCAATGAAGTAAAAGTTACTTGAGATAATGGTGTCAAACCAGTTTCAAACAAACAAAAAACGTATCGTTGCAAAACTATTTTTAACATCTGGATTATTCCCAGGTGTTACTATTTTTAAATTTCTTTGGGTCAACTTACAACACAGACATTGTAGCAGTGTGCAGCACACGGGCACACGAGTCCTTGCATAGATGCCTGAACCCCAGCATTAACAAAGCTGTATTTGCATACCATATAACATATTAAAAATCCCTCCAATTCAAGTGTAGGCTATAGAAAATTATAGATATATTTATAAATCACATGGAAATATGAAGCATACATTTAAACCTGAGCTTAAAAGTATAATGAAAAGGCTTTAAAAAGGTTAATCATTTCTAATTTGAACACAAAGCAAGCCACATATTCAGCTGGTGTTGATATATCTTCTAATTGTATAATTATCTTCCACGGGTATGTGAAGAGAAAAAGACTGATGAAAACAAATATATGTCCCTTGAAGTTAGAATCAGGTGAATTCATAACAGACAAAGAGATGACAGACCAGTTGAACAAATACTTTGGATCTGTCTTCACTAAGGAGGACAAAAATAATCTTCAGGAAATGGTAGAGGACAGAGGATCAAGCATGAAGGAGGAACTGAAGGAAATCCTTATTAATCACAAAATGATACTGGGGAAATTGATGGGATTAAAACTTAATACGTCCCCAGGGCCTGATGCTCTGCAAACCAGAGTACTTAAGGAAATGGCCCGAGGAAAAGTGGATGCATTGGTAATCATTTCCACAGTCTATAGAATGCTGGAAAGAGTTCCAATGGACTGGAGGGTAACTAATGCATCCCCGCTCTTCACAAAAAAATACAGGGAGCGAGAAAATGCCCAATTAAAGGCTGCTTAGCCTGACAGCGATGGGAAAAAAACGTTGGAGTCAATTAAGGATGTAGTAACTGAGCATTTGGAAAGCGGTGACAGAATCGGTCCTGGTCAACATGGATTCACTAAAGGAAAACTATGCTTGACAAATCTTCTGGAATTTGGAGGATGTGACCAGTAGAGAGACAAGGTGAATCAGTGGATGTTGTGCATCTGGACTTTCAAAGGCTTTTGACAAAGTTCCACACAACAGGTTAGTAAGGCAAATTAAGGCTCATGGGATCAGAGGCAATGTATTGACATGTTTAAAGAACTGGTTCGCAGACAGGAAGCAGAGAGTTGGAATAAAAGGGTCCTTTTCAGAGTGGTAGGCAGTGATGAGTCGGGTGCCACAGCGTTCAGTGCTGGGACCCCAGCTGTTCCTGATATACATTAACAATTTGAACGAAGGAATTGAATGCAATTTCTCCAAATTTGCAGATGACACTATACTGGGTGGTAGTGGGTGCTGTGAGGAGGATGCAAGGTGACTTGGACAGTCTGGCTGAGTGGCCAAATAAGTGGCAAATGCGATATGGTGTGGATACATGAGAGGTTATCCACTTTGGTGGCAAAAACAGGAAGGCAGATTATTATCTGAATGGTGGCAGTTTAGGAAAAGGTGAGGTGCAGTGAGACCTGGGTGTCATGGTGGAACAGTCGCTGAAGGTTAGCGTGCAGGTGTAGCAGGCAGTGAGGAAAGCTAATGGTATGCTGGCCTTCAATGTTACAGGATTTGAGAATCGGAGTAAGAATATCTTGCTGCAGCCACACCTTGAATATTGTATGCAGTTTTGGCCTCCTAGTCTGAGGAAGGACATTCTTGCTATCACCAGGATGGCACAACTGACATATGAGGAATGACTGGATCTACTGGGCTTGTATTCGCTGGAATTTAGAAGAATGTGGGGAGGGGTGGAATCTCAGAAAAAATTCCTGATGGGACTGGACAGGTAAGATACAGGAAGAATATTCCCTTTGTTGGGGGGAAGTCCAGAACTAGGGGTTACAGTCTAAGAATAAGGGCTAAGCCATTCAGGACTGATATGAAGAAGAATTTCTTCACTCAGAGTTGTGAACATCTGGAATTCTCTCCCACAGGAAGCTGTTGAGGTTAGTTCATTAGATATATTCAAGAGGGAGCTGAACATGGCCTTTGTGGCTAAAGGGATCAAGGGGTATGGAAAGAAAGAGAAAGAAAGAAAGAGAGAGTGGGATACCAAGATAGCTTGATCAGCCATGATCATATGGAATGCTGGTACAGGCTCAAAAGGGACAAAAGGCCTATTCCTGCCATCATTTTCTATGCTCTTAACTTTCTAATTACAGCAATCCACTGTTCCTATCTCTATTTTCTTAAACCAGTACTTACACTATTTTAAACCAACAATATGGTCCATACATCACTGACCCCGTACATTTGAGAGCTTAACAGTTCTGTTTAGAAATGATTCTCCTGCTATCTGCCACAAATCTTATATTTAGTCTTGATTTTGCTTCTGTCTTTACCAATTTAGAAAGTGGTGACAATAGTCTAGGTGAAAATGTGGTTATTGAGCAACCAGAGAGGATTATAGGGGTAGATAAAGAAAAGGTGCAAAAAGGCTGGCAGCACTTCTGGTAGAGAAGTTGCCACGCCCAGATGGGGTGCACCCTAGATTGCTGACAGAGGTAAAGGAGCAAATTGCAGAGCCATTGACAGAAATTTGAGGCATCTCTGAACACAGGATTAGTCCTGGAATAATGGAGGATTGCAAATGTGATGCCTTTGCCCTTTACTTAAGCAAAGGATAACCCAGGAAATTACAGATCTAACTGATGGAGACCATAATATGGGAAAAGATAAAAATACAGAGAAAAATAAGTTACATTAGACAGCAACATGGCTTTGTCAATGGCAAGTTGTCTGACAAATTTAATTGAGTTAATTGGTGAGGTTACACAAGCAGTAGATGTGGGTGGTGCTGTGGATGTTGTATATTTGGACTTTCAGAAAGCATTTGATAAAATGCCACATGGCAGGTTGGTTAGAAAATTAGAAATGTTTGGGATTGATAAGTCCTTAGCAGCATGGATCAGAAGCTGGCCCATGAATAGGAAACAGAGGGTAGGTATGGACGGACATTTCTCAGACTGAAGCTGAGTTGAAAGTGGTGTTCTCCAGGGATCTGTTTTTTTCTGATCTATGTAAATAATTTGTAGATGTGTTGAGAGCAAAATGTTTAAATTTGCAAATTATACTAAGCTAGGGAGAACAGTGACTTGTTAGGATGACACTTGGTGAATTCAAAGGGATATTGACAAGTTGTCCAATGAGCAGGCACCTGGCAGATGAATTTCAATGCAGAGAAATGGGAGGTAATGCATTTTGCAAGAAGAAACAGAGGGACAATAATGGCTCGATAATACAACTTTGAGGAGAGTACAGGAGCAGAGGGACCCCTGTGTTCACATACATGATTCTCTGAAGATGGCTAGGCAAGTTGAAACGACTATTAAGAAGGCTTATAGGATCCTTGGATTTTTAAAATAGAGGCATAGAGTATTAAAGCAAGGAAGTGATGCTACACCCATACAAAACATTGATCAGACCACATCTGGAGTATTGTGTTCAGTTCTGGGCAGCTTAAGGATGGATGTTCAAGCCCTGGAGAGTGTACAATGGAGATTTACTAGAATGATACAGGTACAAGGGATTTTAGATACGAGGAAAGATCAGAGAAATTGGGCGTATTCTCCTTGGAGCAGAGAAGACTAAGTTGGTGACTTAATTGAGGTGTTCAAAATTATGAATATTTTTGACAGGGTAAAAAAGATATTGTTTTCCCTAGTTGGTATGTCAGTAAATAGGGGGTCACAATTTCAAGATTGTCAGGAGTGAGATGAGGGGAAACTTCTTTACACAGTTATTAGG